AAAAAAAAAAAAAAAAGGCAGGTTTTTTTTTTTTTTTTTTTGTAATAAGTATATTGGAACATATAGAATAAATTAGTGATGGGTTCATGGACAACCAGGCAGATGAGGAAAAAAAAAAAATGAGGTAATGATTAACTCCAGGAAAAACAAAGGGTTGTATAAAAATTAAGGTGTGATCATAGTGTATTACTTCACCCAGGATTGAGCAATGTTTGTAAAGTTATCATAACACAAAAACTGACTTTTGATTTAGCCAAAATGAAAATATAACTTTGGGACACAAAGAAAGAGGAAGTTAGAAATGTGTTTGGGAATGCCAAGCTTTCATTTCCTATAATGTGAAGTCCATAGATAATCTCTAAAAATGGTAAGTAATGTAATAATAGTATAAATTTATTCTGCTAATAAGTGTTGGGCATTATTGTTTAGGTAGCAATTTTATAAATGACACTGAAGTGCTTATTGCAGGGTTTCTTTTTAACATATATTGTCAGTGAAAAACAAGGGTTCACCCTATGGCTATCAAGAACACAGGTAAACAGTCCCTCTAGCTGTTATTCTTGATAGGCCCAAACAAAAACAAACCTAATTGTTTTCAGGTATGGAGACCATCCCCAAGCTGCTCCTGCACACCTTTCAGACATGGGAATGTTACTCTTCATTTATAGTCCTATATAAGGAGCTCTGGTAGCCTAGTGGCTAAGGCACTTGACTGCTAACCAGAAGGCTGGCGGTTCAAACCCACCAGCCGCTCCTTGGAAGGAAGATGGGGCAATCTACTTCCATAGTGATACTGCCTCGGAAACCCAAGGAGGGGTCACTATGAGTCGGGTCCGACTCGAAGGCACACAATAAGAAGCAAAGTATTTTATTCTAAACTGCTTTTCTTCCAGATTACTTTTACAGATTGAAATGGGGAAAAGAAGAGTAAACTGACATTCAGGATACAAACTTTCTTAGTGGACCAATGTGTTGTTACCTTCTAATTATTTCCCTGCATGGAGGATCTTTAAAAATGATCAAAAGACACGTGCTTTTCTTAGTAAACTCTACATTCTGTCGTCATAATTTTTGGAGGGCGAGCGAAGGTTGTGTTGGATGTCTGTTTCTTTAGTTGATTTGCAACCACTGGAGAAATTACAGGGAACAAAGGGAAAAAAAGAACTATAAATACAAATGAATTCCTTTTATACAAGTTGGAAAACCACAGGACGTGCTGCATTTTTTTTTTTTTAACACTCCAGGTGTGATCGGAGATTACGTATCTACCACAAGAGAGTGGAGAGTTAATTAAAATTTTTTGCTCCTACTCACAGAAAGAAATGTCTTTTCGTTTGATAAGCAGGCTGGCTTTTGAGTGCTGTTTGTGCTTTCTTCTCTCCTCACTGGAGTGTCACAAAAAAAAGCAGATCAAAGAGACCCTTCCATCCGTCTATGTTTCCTACCACCTCTTAGCTAATGGACTTAAAAGCACTTTCCACTCACTGTGTGGTGCTCAACTTGTATTTCAGAAATGCCGTCTTCTTATTGTGTTTATAATATGTATTGTAAGATGGAAAAACACATTTAATACTAATTAAATCAAGACCAGCCCAAATAGTTGGAGGCAGAGACTGTCACACCTCCTACCCCTTATATTTTACTTTCCAACTCACCCTGTGACAGCCAGAAATTAACACTAGAGACGGAACCCTCAGCTCTATCAGGCAGGATTGTGTTTGTTTTGTTGTGTTTTCTGTTTTCCTTTTGGCTTTTGGTTCCTGTACCCTCTAGCTGGCATCCCCTACCTCAAGAGGGAAAAATGTTTGGGAAAAATCCTGCTGTCTTTCTCTTTAAGAATAGTGGCAAAATGGAATAAAATAAAGCAAAATAGTAGCAGCCTGCCTGCGAGGCCATGGAAGCCAGCAGGTCAGGCTTCAGCGGGGGTCCTTCATTGTCTTGCCGCTCTGGGTGCTGGCAGAGAAAGGAGAAAACCTGGCCGAGCCACTGTCACCAATAAAAGGACTCCATTCTGCCACTCAGGGCTTTGTGAGGCGCCAAAGCTTGTCCTGGTTGCCATGGCTACTGTCTGATTGTGGCGGGTTTGCCACAGTGCTTGATAAAGTGGGAAGGTTATTCTTGATAGGTCCAAGTAATCATAACCTTGCAAAGCTAGAGAGTGTGGGTTTTATTTATTTAATTTTTTTTCCCCTCCTCTCTTTAAACCAGGGGTATGGGGGCAGGGTGCTACAGATAAAGCAGCCACATAGCACTTCCTTCAGCAGGCGGAAGGCTGTGCCCCACAGTGGGGACATTGACCACGCTCTCCTGTGGAAGGTAGGGGTTGCTGGTCCCCTCCTGGCCTGGGTGGGGCTTCCAAGGAAGGAGCCAGACTGAGGGCCTCTCCTGTCTGTCTCCTGTACATTGATTACACTTTGTGCCTCTCCCTCCTTTGCTCTCTCCTGCTTTCCCTTCCCTGTTCCTTTTCTCTGTACCTTTCTTTCTCTTCTTCCCCCTTTTCTCTCCCTCCTCCTGTCTGCTGAGCTTTTAAAGATCTATTTTTTTCTTCACATGGCAAATGATGGGAAAAGGTTAGATTGGAACAGTGGAGGTGTTCTAGCCACAGAACTGTGGATTCTTTTCTTTCACCAAAAGAGCCCTAAGAGATCACCTAGGCAAGGTTCTCAATCTTAGCGGCATTAGTACTACTGGGAGGGCTTGTCCAAACACTGGTTCCTGGACCCACTCCCAAAGCTTCTGATTTAGCAGGTCCGCATGGGGCCTGACAGTGTGCCTGCTAACAGCCTCCCTGGGGATACTGGGGAGGCTGGTCTGGAGACCAAACTGGTTTGTGTTTTTTTTTTCTTCAAATTTTTATTGTGATTTGGGTGAAAGTTTACAGAGCAAAATCATTTTCCATACAGCAGTTCATACACATTTTGTCTCATGACATTGACTGCAATTCCCCACAGCTTTCTTCCCACTTCCTCCCCATAGTTACCTCTTCCTTGTTTCCTTCCCTCTCATTCACTCCTGCCCCCTGAGCTGTCTCCCTGTGCATACACAGCCCTTCTATTCTCCCATGATTGATCTCTCCAACAAGTGTGTTTACCTAATGTAAATATTCAGCTCTTATGCCTGTCTGTTATTTGGCTGAGAGTCATAAGAGTGAGTTCAATTCCATGCCTGGAGGGGTGACTAGAGGCCATAGTCTCAGGGGTCCCACCAAGCTCTATCAGACCAGCAAACCTGGTCTTTTTTTTTATGATTTTGAGTTTTGTTCCACATTGTTCTCCCACTCTATCCAGGGTCTCCTGCACCTGATCCATCTCCAAGTGGTTGACGGTAGTAGCTGGGCACCATCTAGTTCTTCTGGTCTCATGGTCATATAGCTGAGAATCACATGGTCTACCAGTCCCTTGCATTATTTCCATGTGTCTGGTTTTCTTCATTCTTCTCTGTTCTGGATGAGGAGAGACCCATCGTTGCATCTAGATGGCCACTTTCAAGCTTTTAAGATCCCAGTCACTACTCACCAGAACAAGATGTAGAAAAATGTTTTTGCGTAGCATGTCATGCCAGTTGAGGTTGATGTGAGGACCACATTTTGAGAATGAATGATATGAGCCAATACTTATTTTTATACAGTTGAGAGAACTGAGGCTTCCAGGGGCCCAAGTGACTTGGTAGCTGCACTGGGAAAGGTACCCAGTTTTAGAAGTTTTAAAACCTATTTGAAGAGGCAAGGGTGGTGGTCCCCTCTTCTCTGTTCCGGTTGAGGGCAGTCAAGTGAGCAGGTTGTTTTCAAAAGGCCACCACCCAGACAGCCCACACCATGGAACATCCATATCTGAGCAGAGCACTCCTGAGTTAAACCCACCCTCCTCAGTGCTCTAAGCCCTACTTCCTTCCCAACTTTATCTTCTAGTTTGTACATGCTGGCAGTCTAGTCTCCCCTAGAATACGCCTTCTCCCAACTCCACCTGTCAGGAAGCCAACCTGGACTGTGGCTGGGGTCTCTCTCTTCTGACATTCTGGGCCTTGTGGCCCTGCCAACGGACCACTTTGCATTTTGGTTATTTCGTGTCTGTTTTGTTGCCTCTGCCAGATTGTGAACTCTAGTGGGCAGCCCTGTGCCTTTGATCACCTTTGTTCTTACCACAGTTTGCAAATACCAGATGAGGGAATCCACATGGCTGCATAGGTTGGAAGGAATCTGGACACACATTTGAGATTTTCAGAAGCCAACCTAACAGAGATGGGGCATCTCATGGCTGCCAGGGCAAGGGCAAGTGTGGGAGCCACACTTTTCAATTTTAGTAAGGAGCTCAGAGTAAGGAAAGAAGCCTCTTGCAGTGAGAGTGCCCACGTGTGGGACCAAATGAACTGACCTCACGTTAGGACTGTCTCCCTGTAGGAGCTGGACTGAGTCTCTAAATTGAAAGGTTTAATCTCCCCACAACCCCCATTCCCAGTGAAATATGATATGGGCAGCACTTATCCGTGTAAGGAGGGATGTGTAACACAGGTGGAAACCCTCTGTGCAGCGGTTGTGCATGTGTGCTCGTGTGTGTGTGTGCTGCTGTGGCTGGATGCAGATGACCTGTCAGATGACCTGTCAGATGTAATTTAACTCCCATGAGGAGCCATGAAATCACCCAGAGCAGTGTGCGTTGTCACGCCCTGAATGCATCTGTGAGGTGAGGCGACTACGCTTCTTCACTGAAACTCACTGGAGGCTATTTGTCCAGACAAGAGTAAAACAAAATTAATGGATTAATCCTTTGGCTTTAATTCCTTGCCGTTACAGACTGAGCCAGGCCCAGAAAGAAATCCCATGTTGGCAGTTGGCTTCAAACTCTTTAGCTCTTTGGTGAGCACTGGAGCTGGAGGGCCTGGGAGCTGCAGGGCGTCCCTGCTACCTCTCTGCTTTGTTGGGTTGGTGGATTGAATGTCCCTTCTCAGTCACTTGGGGGTTGGCAGGAGGCAGCAGCAGTCCTAACGGTGGCCTTTCTCCTTAGGGTGTCGAGGTGCAGACAGACTATGTGCCCCTGCTGAACTCACTGGCAGCCTATGGCTGGCAACTCACCTGTGTGCTACCAACTCCTGTCATCAAGACAACCAGGTAACAATCATGGGAGTGATGTTTATCACTGAACACTTATGCTGTGCTGGACACTGTTTTAATAAGGACTGTAGGTGCATCATTCATTTAGTCCTTGAAGGCTGGTATGGTTGGAGGCTGGGATTTCCTCATCACTGCAACCTAGCACACTCCCTCTACACCCCTCCTTCCCACTGGGGAGCCTGGGCCAGTGGATCATTACCATCCTGCATGACCCAGCTGACCATCTGGGTGGAGGTGGCTTAAAGCCCTCAGATAAAATAGAAATTCAGCACTTGCTGTGTGCCCTGTGCTGAGCGAGGTAGGCACTTTATATAATTTTATTTAGTCCTCAAAAAGAAAATCCTCTGAGGCAATATTTTTCATTAGACCCATTTTACAGCTGAAGAAGGTATGGCAGGGAGGCTAGGAGACTTGCCCAGGATCATGTTGCTGGTCGGTAGCTCCACGCAGGAGATATGAAGACCTGGGGTCCCAGCCTTGCTTGTGGTGTTCCATACAATTTCATGCTCACTGCCATTTGTCCACCTCAGCTCTCCCTGCTGTCCCTTGAACCCATGGGCTTGTCCATCTGCATTTTGGGTTTGCTATCTAAACTAGAGGAGCTCTGGTGGCGTAACCTAAGGCACTTGACTGCTAACCAGAAGGCTGGCGGTTCAAACCCACCAGCTACTTCTCGGAAGGAAGGTTGGGCAATCTACTTCCACAGTGATACTGCCTCGGAAACCCAAGGAGGGGTTGCTATGAGTTGGTTCCAACTCGATGGTAGTGAGTTTGGTTTGGTTTGGATCTAAACTAGAGAGTCCCTGAGTGGTGCAAATGTATTCGACTGTCAACCAATGGTTGGAGGTTGGAATCCATCCATAGGCGCCTCAGAAGAAAAGCCTGACAGTCTACTTCTGAAAAATCACCCATTGAAAACCCTCTGGAACACACACAAAACCCTACTCTGACACACATGGAGTCACCAGGAGTCGGAGTTGATTTCAGGGCAGCTGATTAAATGAACCATTAGTTGTGAAATCACCCAACTCAATGCCTCACACAAAAGAGGGGCCAAGTAAATGTTCTCTCCCTCCATTCCCTCTGAGACTCCTAGATGGATTCAGTAACACATTTCCTCAGCAGAGAAGACATTTGCAAAATACTTAAAGAAAGACATCAGAAGGGTGGGAGCACTAGGAGGAGACAGCTCCCTGGTAATATTTCTATCATCTTAAAAGGCAGCTCCACAGAGTCTTGTCTTCCTGGGAGGAAAAAGCAGTCTCCTCACTCCTTTCATTAATTTGAGGCAGAGCTGAGGGCCCTACATGCTGCCCGGTGCAGAAGCAGTAGTCACTGTACCTACAGGAGCCACACTGCCTTGCCTCTTGGCAAGACCGTGGCTAAGACCCTGCGTGCAGTGACTCCTCCACCCACTATCCTGAAATGGCCATTCTGCTGAGCTCACCACTCAGGCCCTCATCTAACTGGTCATGCTGGGCCAACCAGGCCTCTCTGTGGCATCATTACCAGAGACAGATTTGGAAGAGGCCTCCCACCCCTTTGAGATTTACTGAAGAAAACAATTTGTCATCATTTGGCCAAGATGTTTAAGCCGTTACTTCACATCAGGGGAATGGAAGTCTCCAGCTATGAAACTGACTTTGCGGGAACACCCAAACAGCTTTTATTGGCCCCTTAAGACACCCCGATAGAAGTAAGGGTGGCAGGCCTGGGAGGGTCGGAGAGTGGGGAAGTGGATGTCTTGATTTGTAACCCTCTCACCCTTTGGTAGTGGCTTTCCTTTCTGTAGGTAGTCTGCCTTAATGAAATTAGGGATTGTAGCATCTGTCTTAGGTTTGGGGTTTCTCCAGGCACAAGGAAACTCATTCTCAGCTCTCTGTGTGTTACAGGGAGGGGAATGTATCCACCAAGCAGATTGTCTTTCTTCAGAGACCATGTCTACCTCAGAAAATCAAGAAGAAGGAATCAAAGGTAGGTGACCTTGATTGCCTTCCTCAGTTTTCTTTAGCAGAGCTTCTCTTTGCAGTGTATTTTTTCCAGCAGTTGTGTGGGGAACCTGCTCCAACTTCCAAGGGCTCTCAGAACCCAAGGAACACCTGAGCCCCTTTGCAAACCAAATCACACCTGAGGCTGCTGAAATGGGAATGAGTGAGGGGAGCTCAAGGGCCTTGTCTGCCAGCCTCCTGTTTGCCAGGCCAGAGAGCAGAGAAGAGCATTACTTCTGGACACACACAACATGCCACATATTCCTACAAGGCTAAAATTAGGGCATGAAGGCAGCTGCAGTCTGTCCAGAGTGAAGGTGGCTTGAACTCATGCCCAGTTTCTCCGTGTCATAATCTCATTACAAGCTGCCAGCCCCCTTAGGTCCCTCAGGACATCAAAAGTTTGGAAGCCACAGATAATCTTGGCAGAGAGACCCTGCCAGAGTCTGTTCTTGACATGCCCCTGTCCCAAAGGCCTGTGAGTGACAGCTGCTTATGTAGACAGAGGCCAACCTTAGCCAGTGGCCATGAGTCCTCAGGCCAGACTACCTTTGGGATTCCCAGGGTTCCCCTTGTCCCCTAAATGGACTTCACATGAACTATCCCAGAAATACTGTCACCCTGAGACCAATTTTCAGAAGATTTTCTCAAAAAATCTCCTCTATGCTTCCTCAAGTCCAGCCAAGTCTTCCCCTTCTGCCAGATGACTGATATTTGAGACCTCCATGCTTCACAGCAATGCTTTTCCTGTGGGTGTTTTGCCAGTTGATCAAGAAGAAGCCAATGAGTCTGCTGGCCCAAGTCAGGTACCACCTGGATCCAGCTCATTCCACCTTTGCCACATTCTTAGGCAGAACCTGCTGGACCTGCTTCATCTCCTCACAACTGGCTGGTCCCCCATGTTCCCCACTCTCAGTCCTCATGTTCTTTGGATGTGGAGCCCCAACAGGAGCATCAAGCAAATGAACAGATTGGAGTAGCCCCTCACCGGCCAACAAATCCACAGGGAGCCCTCTTGTAGAAGGAATGCCAAGAAGTTGTGACTTGGAGCCAGATGGGCTAGGGTACAGAGGAAGGTCTTTCTCCAAGCTTTGAGACATTAATGTGATAGGTGACAGCAGTGGTGAGCCAGAAGGCAGCCTCCAACTCCACCATTACTCACCAGGAGCAGTCAGCCACCAGCTGCAAGATGGATCAGCTAGAGACCACTGTTATAGTGTAGCTGTAGGTTCATAAAGGCTGCATGTACTCATGGAAAGAGTGACATAAGTCAAGCACACGAGGTCTCCTGACAAACACTAAAAGAAATCAGGCTTTGACCCTTATGAGAGTAATTAGCTCCACCTTTTTTTGCCAATGTTCTTGGTTGTAGGTGGATTCCAAAGGATGGACACATGCTTTGACTTTGGTAGGAAGGATATCACGTCACAAAGGGCACTAGGCAGTGGGAGCTTCAGCAGATGGGGACATTTTAGAGGTTGACTTTTAAAGGTGCTGTAAGGAGGTAGAATGACCTTCCTCAGGGAAAATCAGAGAGGACGGTCAGTAGAAACTTGCCCTTGGTGGTGCAAATGATTAAGCACTCAGCTGCTAACTGAAATGGTGTAGGTTTGAGCTCACTCAAACCAGGAACACCTTGGAAGAAAGTCCTGGTGATCTGAAAAATCAGCTTTTGGCAGCCCTGTGGTGCATAGTTCTACTCTGTCACACATAAGGTCATCATGATTTGGAATTGTCTCAATGGCAGCTGGAAACTTGAAACCCCAGCTATACATATATAGGTTGACTGCTTTCTATCTATTTGTCTTTGGCCAAAGACTGAAGGCAGCTGGCATAAAACACTTGTTCTCTATGAGACCCTGTAGGTTAACTCACTAGTGGAGTCCCAGAGAGAGGAAAATTTGCAGCCAAACTTTTTTTTTTTTCCTTTTTTCTGTGAAAATATATACAACAAAACACATGATTTAACTAATTTCTATATGTACAATTCAGTGACACTGGTTACATTCTTCAAGTTGTGCCACCTTTCTCAACTTTTTCCAGACTATTTCACCATCATTAACACAAACTCATTGTCCTTCTAAGCTTCTCATCTATCCTTTCGAGTTGCTGTTGTCAATTTGATCACACACAGGTAATTCTTTAAAAGAGTATAATGCTTAATGCACACATTCTTTTCTAATTAGGCTAAACTGATAACTCATTCAAAGACTATTTCAGGGGATAATGTTTAAAGATTTCCTCAGAGTAATAGTTTTGAGGCGTCACAGCAAAATTTCTTGATAGAATTGTCTGCACTTGATGTCTCTGCCATTCCCTGCTTGGCTGACTCAGTGCTCTCACAGGTCTGTAATTACCCTGTGTTAGTAGCTCCATAGACCTCATGATTCTGTGGCTCCCTGAGCATTGACCTACTGGCCACCCTCTCTACCTTGAAGCACACTTTTCTCTGGGTTTCATCCCACCACATTCTCCTGGTTTCCTATCAAGTTCCTCCACATGCACACTCACCCCATTTCTCTTCTCACTCTTTTACCTCTTTCCCAGAAAATCTCGTTCATTCCAAAGGCTTTATTCACCACCTCTGTGCCCATGGCTTATCTCTGTATTTCCTGCCTACACTCTTGTGGTGTAGTGCCTAAGGCATTTGAATGCTAACCAGAAGGCTGGCAGTTCAAACCCACCAGCTGCTCCTCAGAAGGAAGACGGGACAATCTACTTCTGTAGAGATACTGCCTCGGAAACCCAAGGAGGAGTCGCTATGAGTCCAGACTGACTGGTTGGCAGTGAGGTTTTTTTACACCTCTCCTCAGAGCTTCCATAGCCATCTATCCTTACTCAGTATCTCCATCTGAATGTCCTGAAAGCACCTCAGATTCAATGTAAGCCCAAACTCATTATTTTGCCCCTTCTCCCAGGCCTGGCTCACTGTCCTCTCACCCCAGGCCTCTTACTGTCCTTACCCCAGGCCTAGAGGAATTGTACCATTAACCCAAGCACACCCACCCACCTAGGGGATCATGCTTGACTCCACCCTCTTTTTCCCTATCAGTTTGTCCTTTATACATGTCAATTTTAGGTTCTAGAAACTCTGCAATCCATCCACTCCTCTCTACCATCACTTGCCTTGGCTACTGCAATCACCTTATAACAGGTCTCCCACATCAAATCTGGCCCCTTTCAAATATGTTCTCCACTCAGAGCCAAAGTCATTTAATACAGCAAATAGAAACCTGTCAAGCCATTGCTTAAAACTGTTCTGACGAGTTGCATTACTCATAAGATAAAGATGGAAATCTGCAGTGGGGCCCACAAAGCCCTGTGTGGTCTGGCCCTCTTGTCTCTTCTCCCAGCCCCTCATTTCTACATTCTGATCACACAGGTTAGTCTGCATGCTCTTTGTGTTCCTTCCTGCTACGGCATGGGCCTTTGCTTCAGCTGTTCCCTCTTCTAAGACATGCCATCCTTTATATCTCCACTTAAGTGTCATTTTCTCAGGACAGTGTTACTCTCCTTTTAGTCCAAGTCAGGCACCTACAATACATTCACCAAGAACCATATTCTTCTCTTTCAGAGCCTTCCTCTCAGATTCTATTTATTCAATTACCTTTACTGGAGGAGTTGTTGTTGTTGTTGTTGTTAAGTGCCGTCGAGTCGTTTCCGACTCATAGCGACCCCATGAACAGCAGAACGAAACACTGCCCGATCCCGCGCCAGCCCCACAATCCCTGCTATACTTCAGCCCATCATCACAGCCACCGTGTCAGTCCAT